TTGAAAGCCGACATGAAGGCCATGCAAGATGCTCAACATGCAACATACAATCAATTGGCGAAACTCGAGCAATCACTGTCCGGGTCAATTCAATCCTTAGCCGACAAATTTACAAAGCTTCGACGGCGTGGTCAAAGGCCATCAAGAGATCCTGTGCCAGGGTCATCATCAGAGGAGTCCGCACCTTCGGAGGACGAGGATAGTGCGTACGAAGAAGAGATGGACCGCCGGTCGCAGGGATCTAGTGGTTCACGGCGCCACAAGGAACGGAGGATCGAAAAACCAAAGATTGTTCTTTCCACGTTTAAGGGAGAGGATCCAGACGCATGGTTGAGTCGAGCTACTCAGTATTTCGACCTCAACGAGACTCCCAAGGCTGACCGTGTTAAGTACGCCGCATATTATCTTGATGGAGAGGCGAATACATGGTGGCAATGGATGTCGCACGCGAACAAAGGCAAACGGTTGAAGTGGAGGGAGTTCGAAAAAGGGTTGATCAAGAGGTTTGGTTCGTCCCAATATTATGATTTTGATGAGGCCTTGACGCGAATTAGACAAACGGGTAGCCTAAGAGATTATCAAAGGGAGTTCGAACGCCTAGCATGTCATGTACGCGATTGGCCGGAGCGAGCGCTCATAGGCGCATTTATTGGAGGCCTTAAGCCGGATCTTGCTGCTGAGGTTAGGCTCGAGAAGTCGAGGAGCTTACAAGAAACCATGGAAGCCGCACGCTTGCATGACGACCACTTGGCTGCAGTGCGCAAGATGGGCCGATCAAACACGCGCGAGGGCGAAACACGGGCAGAGGTACGCACGGAACCAGCGCGCACGAAGCCGCGGACATACGTGGATAACACGCCCAAGGTCGGAAGTTCAACAACAAATGGTCGCGAAAGGATGGCTGAGGAAGAGAGGCAGCACCGAATAAGCAAGGGGCTATGTTTTCGCTGTGACAAAAGATTCACGTCGGGTCATCAGTGCAAGCAACAATTGTACAACATGGAAGGTGACGAGGAGGTGGGAACGAAGCACTACGTCAATGAGGACTTGGAAATTTCAGTCAATGCGATGTCGGGAGTGCATGGGCCGAGAACCATTAAGTTGCCCGCTTCAGTCCAATGGCGATCTATCGAGGTATTAGTTGATACCGGGTCGTCCCATAATTTTATTAATGCCATATTAGCGGACGCATTGAAGTTATTGGCAACAAAGGTGGATCCATTCGACGTAAGAGTTGCCAATGAGGAAAAACTGCGATGTCGTGAGTATTATCGAGACGTGCCCATCAATCTTCAAGGCGAGATCATCAAGGTAGACCTCTATTCATTACCGTTGGTGGGACCTGACATAGTCCTTGGGGTGCAATGGCTAGAAGGACTTGGTGAAGTCAAAACAAATTATAAGGAGGGGATAATGGAATTTTATTCGGATAATAGGTTGATCATGTTGAAAATCAAACCGAGGGGAGCGGTTAGAGGAGCGGAGTTAGGGTGTTTAGAGCTAATAGGTGAAGAGAACGAGCACAAGAGGATCCTTGAGGGCAAGGATGTTCTTAAAGGGGGCGGGAATGATACGGAAGTGGTCCCGGACCCTTTCAAGCCCGAGCACAGGGCGCTGGGCAATAAGCACGGGGCGCAGGGCGAGCGCAGGGGCAATGACGAGCGAACGGGCATGCGCGACACCCGCGCAGGTGGCAATGACGCGCGCGAGATGGTCATACAGGCGAAGGGTGCAATCACGTGCGCACATGCGGGGAGACGCAAGACCAGGGTGGTAAGCCTAATCCTAATAGGAATAGGCAAGGTGCGAATCCTAGACCCCGCAGGACTAGGAAAAGCAACTGAGTGCCGAAACGCGCACGAAAGATTAGTGACTGGAGTAATCCTCGAGGGATCAGGAAACATATTCCTAGTAGGAATAGGCAAAGTGGATGTGGGCTCGAAGCACGATCCTTCAAGGAATAAGAATGGCGCACGCATGGGGAGAGACCTAAATCCTCGAGGCAAGAGGATTGGCGGGTGTAGGAGGCGCGACCTTAGTCCTCGAAGGGCTAGGGCAAGGTGTGCGCGGGCGGTGGACGACCAAGGCGGTGGATGGGTGGTTAGGAGTCTTCTACTTGGAGTGCAAGGCAAGACTTATGCTTGAAGTGCAAGACAAGGCTTCAAGATCCCTTAGTTATTTGGTTTCCTTATTGCACTATGATATCTAGATTGTTTAGGTTACTTAATATTTTATTGCTTTATTAGTTCCCTAGGTAGATTAAGACTAGACATAACTTGTGCCTTTATAAAGGCCCCTCCTCTTGTTATTTTTCATATCGAATAATTAATAGAAAATCGAACGTTTGTTCACCAACTCTTGTGTGTAAGTTTACATACAAAATCGTGTTAGAAATAGGACCAACATCCAGGTTTCTTCACAACTATCGCGAAGTACGAAGGCTTCGGTGCACGTATTAGTAACCTATCGCTTCGGGACCAAGGCGTCGGCGCGGGTTTCAAGCAATTCGAGTTGAGGCGGATACACGATCTTCATCAACGCGCGCGGGCGCAGGGCAGTAGCCTGCGCGCGAACGCAGGGCAGCAACGCGCACGGGCAGCAGCCAGGGGAAGCGCGCGGACTGACTTGGCCAGCAAGGAAAAAGGACTTCTAGAAGGATTTTTGAGCTGAATTTTCCCTAGATCCTTCTTCCCAACTTGGAGTGCAAGCCAAGTTATTTAGTTTCCTTATTGCTTTATAATTTCTAGCTTAATTAGGATTTCTAATATTTTATTGCTTTAATAATTCCCTAGGTAGATTAGGACTAGATATATTTTGTGCCTATATAAAGGCCCCTTCCCTATTTTATTTCATCGAATTTATCAATAAAAATCCGAACTTTTGTTCAAACACTTTGTCTTAGATTTCTTATAGATTTCTATTGCAATTTTATTCATTTAGAGGGGTGCGGTTTGTGAACCTCTAGGCATCTATCGGCGATTCAAGGCACTGGTTTGTGGCTTATCAGCAATCGAAACACACGATCCTCATCACCGAGGCACGCCGCAGGGGCACGTGCTGGTTTCCACAATCGGGGTTTCAACTGCCCGGGCTTTGGCCGCCGCCTCAATCCGCGCTGGTCCGCGCCATGAGTCGATTGGCGTACCGGCGTGCGACCGGAGGCGCATCGCCGGCCCCCATCCGCTTCCCTCCCCACAATTTCAAGCACTATTTGACTCTCTTTTCAAAGTCCTTTTCATCTTTCCCTCGCGGTACTTGTTCGCTATCGGTCTCTCGCCCGTATTTAGCCTTGGACGGAATTTACCGCCCTATTGGGGCTGCATTCCCAAATAACCCGACTCGCCAACAGCGCCTCGTGGTGCGGCAGGGTCCGGGCACAACGGGGCTGTCACTCTCTATGGCGCCACCTTCTAGTGGACCTGCGCCCGGTCCGCCGCTAAGGACGCTTCCCCAGACTACAATTCGGACGACGGGGTCGCCCGATTCTCAAGTTGGGCTATTCCCGGTTCGCTCGCCGTTACTAGGGGAATCCTCGTAA